GTTCGGAGTGACAACGGACATTGTTGATTGAGACCGAGCAAGTACTTGATGGAAGTCAGGACCAAAGTGAATTCAATTGATCTGAGATCGGAAGAGATCTTATCTTATCTGCCACGGAAACAGATTCAGAAGAGGCGTTAATTAGCAACATACAATACATGAATGAATACGAAAGATTTGTCTGAGCACAAAGGCCAAGATACGGCACATAAACAGGAAAACAGTAGCAGTATACAATATGCGTGTGAAGGAATGGCGATTGAGGATGCAGCGATGAGGAACAATACCTAGGGCGTACAATAGATAAAAGTATTCAGTTTGGATGCCAGAACAATAAGAAATGTCATGAAGCCGCTGCCATCGTCCTCCGTTCTCGCTCGCGAGTCTTGACGCCAGAGCCAAATCGCTCTTGGAAACCGATGAGCTCTTCCATGAGTGACTCCATCATGGTCATCGTTGATGCCTCCGAGGAAGCAGCTTCTTCTGTTCGAGTCGGACCAGACGCAGGACCTGGATTGGACGTTTCCTCTTTGTTTTGAGCGGGAGATTGACGCGGAGTAGCTTGGTCAAGGACCATCGGGCTCCCAACGTCGGCAGGTGGCCTCGCAGGGGCTGCTCTGAGTGCCTTTTCCAGCGCCTCCCTCCGTCTGCCACGATCTAGGGCACTTGCTTGCTCTCGACCAACCCAATCCATGAGAGCTCTCACGCGCTTGTTCATATCCCCCACGCTCATTCGCTTGCTCGGCCACTTGACTTTGACACCACGTTCCAATGTCCTCTCCGAGCTTTCTCGCCCGTTCACAGAGCTGTTCAGAACACTTGCACCTCCCCTCACTTCAAGTGGCTGAGGCGTGTCTGTGGGGAGCATGTGTCCTAGGTGGGCAAGATAGTCGGGGAGATTCCACGAGGTGAACAGTGGTTGTTGGGATACGACATAAGCGTGGGAGTTGCGGTATGCTCGTGCTTCCGCAGGTCCATTGCTGGTACCGTTAAGTCCTCCTGGGTTGCGTCGATCGTGGCCTGGCATATGCGATGATGCTGGCGGTCGTTTGGGGTTCGCCTTGGCACGACTGTGAGTCTGCCTCTTCGGGGCAGGGGCGGCGGTGCCTGAAAGGACGTGATGTTAGTCACGTGGGAAGCAGACAGATCATATACGCACCATCCTCCCCATCTCCAGGCGTCTCATGAACAACCGTCTTGCGAGGGCCTCCGCGTCTCTGTCGAGCTGTGCTTTTAGGTGCCGGGGCGGTAGGGTTATTCGTTGGTTTGGCAGATACGGAGGGGGCTGGTGTCTCTTCGTGATCAACCGTGGATACTATGGGTCGATCCGACACAGTTGACATTGATCGCGTACGTTTCTTGGGATTTCTGGGTACACGACGACCGAGGTTAGGTCCCGCGAATATACGAAAAGAAAGTCAACACGCACGAGTCATCATCACTGCGTTTTCGCTTTTTCCGGTTGTTGGGGACAACATCTCCTTCTCCTTCCGGAGGAGCATTCCCGTTAACATGGCCATTAGATGTGACGCTCTTCGAATCGAACGCAGCTGCTTCAGCTGCAGAAGCTTCCATTATCTCTTTGATGCTTTCATCAAAGTTGGCATCCCTACTATTCATCGTATTGCGACGTTTATTCGGTTGTTTGTGCGAAAGGGAAGGGGAATGTGAACGAGAAGTTCTAGAACGGGGAGGATAGCTGACATGAACGCTGGCGGCCGGGTGCTGGGAACGTCGGGGAGGTTTCCTAAGCGCGTGGTACCCGGACATCAGTGGTTGGCGAGAGTGCTCCAGGGAGAAACGTACTTCAATAAGTCAGCGTGCATATCCGGTTTACATAGTTCGCAATAGTAGAAATAATCATCGTCGTGGAGTTGGTCTTCAGATTCGAAGCCCATACAAAGGCCATGTTGCCAGACCTTGCACGTCTCGCACTGTACCATGAACTCCCCAGCATCTGGGTCGTCCTCTAGAGATGGGGATAAACATCAGTAAAAGTGGGATTGAAGGGAGTATCGTACCCGTACTTCCGCAAACGCAACGCGTGACACCCTGGTCATCCTCTTCGTCGTCGGCAGGCTCGACGGAGACATCCTCGACGCCCGCCACAGGCGCCTTGGCGGTCTTCCGAGACGAGGTTTCGCTTATACTATCTGTGACGCTCACTTGTCTGTCCTTTTCCTTTGGTTTGCGTTTGTTCCTGCCATTCCCGCTGGCAGAGTGGGAGGTAGATGAGCCATTGACTGGGGATATGGCACTCTGTCCTTCTTCAGGAGCATCGTCGAGGTCTTCGGTCTTTGGACGCTTGCCTTTGCCGTTGGTTGTGCTCGTCGACAGTGAACGGCGGTGATTTGTGCTTTCTTTGACACGGGGGGGAGGGGGAGCAGAATCGGAATCTGGCGATTTGGAGGTACTGGCAGATGCTGAGGGTGCTGAACGTCGCCCAGATCGACGAGGCTCTCTGGGAGACAGCGGGGGGCCCATGGTCGCGGCCTGAGCCATGATTGACGAATATGCGGGTTGAGGGGGATGATGGGGGGTGAGACAACAGAGGATTCGGTCCGTGCACCTCTTCTAATCGCCGACAAATAAATGTCCACACGTGCATCCTCATTCTCTCTTTCGTCCACAGTTCATCTGCTCGGATTTCCATCTATCCTATGCGCTCTGTCATCCTTGATTCATCACGTTCATCACCAGCCGCCCTTCAGAGTTCCTCCAGAGCCTCATCCCGGAGTACCCATCGCGGAGCCACCATAGGCGTACTCAACAGGATCATGCTAGGTGCGTGGTCGATTTGGTCTAATTGCAGTCTTGATGCAGAGATTCCCTCCAAGACTCGTTTCCGTGTACAATATCTGCTGGATACCACCTTCGTCGCCTGAGCCGGGCTCTGCAACGACTCTATCCATCTCCCACCGCCAAAGTCGTGACCTCAGTCGCCACGAAAATATGACATCACGTGACTTTCATTTAGCCAATATCTATACAGGGGTTGGTTAACTTCGATGCAGCCGCCCCATTCTCGAAGGGCCGAGCGGAACAGCGACCCCTGTCATTGTAATAATAGATGGCTATACGGCCAACATTCTCCCTTCATCTTGAATGGCAACCCCCATGTCCCGGGGGAAAACCCTTGGGTATGATTTACTGCATTATTTCCTCCATCACGCGACGGCTCATTGTATGGCTTAGTCCTCTGGTCATTGCGAACTGTGTCAACTCGGTGAATACGAACACTTCCTAACGCGCCGCACTATCTCAACGGCTCGTTACAGTTGTCGTACACCCTTGAACTTGTAATGGTACGTGTTTAGTGCGCCGAAGGTTGGTTACCCATATCGACACTTCATTTCAGGCCTATGTTTATTTTAGGAACTACCAAGAAGACAGGAAATTGATGAAGCTTGCTGTTGCTGGTATGTGGCCGATCTTAGATCTCAGACATTCACTTACGAGATCATGCAGCACTTCTGCTCATAGGACTTGTATCCGTCGTTTCCTATATGGCTTGCACATACCTTGTGAGCTTCTCACTCCTCCATCCTATCAGTCTGCGGCTCAATCTGCTATAGTACACCGTGGTACACTGGGGTACGTCCCCCCTGTCTGAGCCTGTTTTCACTCCTCATGGTCCCATAGGTAATCAGGAATACCTTGAAGTTCAAAATACAGTACGTGCCTCAACTCAATGGTGTATATGTCTCCCAATCATGATCATACGCAGTTCATCATCATATCTCTCTTAACGACGGGCATCTCAGCTACCATCGTCCAATCCTTTATGACCTTTCGCTATTGGACTTTGTATGGATTCATGACTCACGATCCGGTGAATTGATCTGACCTATTCTCATAGTTCATTGAACAGTTTCATCGCGCTCATTCTCGCCATCCTCGCCATGTTTTCGGTATGCTCTTATAACTAATCGACCGTTCCTTCGCATGCTGAACAGCTTCTCCAGTTTGGGGACAGTTTGATCTCCTCTGTCATCATCAAATCCAACCCGCACTATTCCGATCGAAATAAAGTAGCAGTCGTCATGACGTACATCCGTTTAAACCTTCTGCCTTTATGCTTCTGCTCATGCCAATATTAGATCTTGGCTATCGTTCAGTGCTTGTTTGGATATTGCTACTACCGTTTGCCTCGTGTGGACCCTTAAACATACGAACGCATCATTCATTCGGACCAAAAGGTATATACCCCCTTTAAGTTTCGTTGGACAATCAATAATGCAGCCCAGCACGATCAACTCATTAATTGGCATCAGCTTTGGAAGTGGTGGTGTTACATCTGTTGGTGCTGTCCTGGCTCTCGTGTCATATTTGGTCGATGGGGAAAGTAACGGTAAGCTTCGACGCCGTTCTTTCGAGCGCCCTCTGACTTCCACAAAGTCTGGCTAGGGATTATCTCCTGCCTCAGACCGTTGTATGTGCTCACCATGGTATCCGATTTTGTTTTGCTTAGTCTTCTCAGCTCAAGCTTTCAACAGTTATTCAACCTTATCATGCGCAAGGTCATACGTAACCGACTCGCTCCCGGGCACAGCTTTCTCAACACAAGCGATCTATATCTTAGTCACGAAAACATCTCTCAGTCGGCTCGTATGTTCGCTCACTCCTCGCTGATTGAATTAACTTCTGACCATAGGGCGTAGATGCAACTGACCTCAATCACGGAGACGGTAAAGCAACGAGCAGCGGCAGCGAGGTAAGTATCTTCCAACGCGGCTAAGTCTCTTAGCTGAAAGTGTTCTCGTAGCTCCCATCTCCGGCAATCAATTCACCGCCGTTTACCAGTTCGGCGAGCTATGTATCAAGCTTCCACCAACTGGAGTCGCTACATTCCCATCACCTCCATGACACACCGTACCCTCCCTCACCAAGTGATGTCCATTCTGTATATATACATCGCCCTGAGAGTGTACACAGTCCCGAAGGATCCCGGTTGATATGGCCTTCGCCAGGACACTGCACGCCTTGACGAAGGTTTCATAGGCGTCTTAGCTCAGCTGGGAGAGCAACAGACTGAAGCGAGTTTCGGTCATCTGGAGGTCCCGTGTTCAATCCACGGAGATGCCATTGTTTTTGTTATATAGTCCCTTTATAAGTAGTACTTTAATTTTTATTTTGCCGGTCATCGATTGCATGAATCGGATTTATGGCCGACCACAATTGAACTTCGTTTGAAGTCGGGCAATTTCCCGTCATAACTTCTTCCATGGCGACATCTACGACAATAGAATACGCGTCGGGTGCGCCCGAGCCCATAGCCTATCCTCGGCTGGCAAAGCATCTTCTCCTTCCTGACCAGACCCCTGATTACCTTCGTCTAATACTCACGTCCAAAGTCTACGAGATCGTCAAGGACACACCTCTGGTACTCGCCACCAACCTCAGCAATACTCTAGGAAATCAGATATGGCTCAAGCGCGAAGATTTACAGGAAGTCTTCAGCTTCAAGATACGCGGGGCGTACAACTTCATGGCGAGCCTGTCTGAGGAAGAACGGTGGAAAGGAGTGGTCACTTGCAGTGCGGGTTAGTGTGCGTGCTCTCATGCACGTCGAGAAGGCAAACTGTTGGTTATTGATATCGGATCCCCCTAGGCAACCACGCCCAAGGCGTCGCTTTATCTGGAGCGAAACTGGGAATACCATGCACCATAGTCATGCCCAAAGGCACGCCTTCTATCAAGGTCAGGAACGTAGATCGTCTAGGGGCCAAGGTCGTCCTTCATGGCGTCGATTTCGACGAAGCAAAGGCCGAGTGCGTTCGGCTTGCGGCCGTCCATGGCCTAGCATTCGTACCGCCATATGACGACCCCTTGGTCATTGCAGGTCAAGGCACGATAGGCATGGAAATCCTGAAACAGCTTCCAGACTCAGATCACCTTGATGGAATCTTCGCTGCAGTTGGTGGCGGTGGTTTGGTCTCCGGCATCTGTGAATATGTCAAGCGCATTGGGAACCCGGATACAAAGATCTTTGGGGCTGAAACTGTGGACGGCGATGCCATGGCGAGAAGCTTGGAGGAAGGCAAGCGTGTTACTCTCCAAGAAGTTGGCCCGTTCTCCGACGGCACCGCTGTCAAGATTGTGGGCGAGGAACCCTTCAGGATATGCAAACGACAGCTTGATGGCATAATCAAAGTCGACAACGATGAATTGTGTGCCGGGATCAAGGACATCTTCGAAGGTACTCCATTTACTAACTACCTATAGGAATGTTCGTTGATGCTTGCTGTTCGCACACCGTAGAAACCCGATCAATAACAGAACCTGCAGGCGCTCTTGCATTAGCTGCACTCAAACGGCATATTCTCGACAACCAGTTGGTGGGCGCAGGGAAGAAGTATGTGGCTGTCGTCAGCGGGGCGAATATGAATTTTGACCGGCTTCGATTTGTGTCCGAGCGCGCCCAGCTTGGTGAAGGCAGGGAAGCCTTGCTGAGCGTGGAGATCCCGGAGAAACCTGGGAGGTAAGTTCCAGCTGTAGGTTTATCAATTACTCGTGACCTGATAATTTGCTGAATACAGTTTCATCAACCTGCACTCAGTCATCCACCCTAGAGCAGTGACAGAGTTCATCTACCGATATAGCGACTCGAAAGTGGCGCACGTCTTCATATCTTTCAACGTTGACCCTCTAAGGCGAACAGACGAAGTCGCCACAATCATAACGGAATTGGAACGAATAGGGATGAAGGCTTGCGACATCAGCGACAACGAAATGGCAAAGAGCCATGGCCGGTACATGATCGGCGGATGCCAGTCAGTTCCAAATGAGAGACTATTCAGATTTGGTTAGTATTCACTCACACCCACCATCATTCACGGTAGCTTACGTTACTCGCGTAGAATTTCCTGAGCGCCCGCTCGCCTTGAGGACATTCTTGCTTGGTTTGCATCAAGGCTGGAATATCTCATTATTCCATTACAGGAACCATGGTGCAGGTTAGTAAACCAACCCTGTGGACCAAACATCATGCTGAACCCTTCTGCAGACCTTGGTAAAGTACTCGCTGGGATTCAAGTTCCACCCGAGGACAGTCAGCAGTTTGACACTTTCCTCGGCGAGTTGAACTACACATACGTCGAGGAGACGCAAAACATGGTATACAGTAGATTCCTGAGGGGATGAAAAACTATTGTACGTATGTACATATACAACCGTGCGGGAAAGCAATTACGCTGCCATAGACTACACTTGCTCGAGAGCAGATTACGAAATACGGTGACGAATAAATGATCAAACGCGAAAACACAGCAATGTCCAACGATAATCGATAACTTGAGATCAAACTAGCACTAAACCTGCACGTCCTTTACTGGCCTATGTGCTTTGGGTTGGATTTTGGGCAAAATCCATTGCAGAGACGTTCTAAAAGAAGACGCGCGTTTGTGACGCACCCGAGTACCCTCAGTCAGTGGCGATGATGGACGTGTGGCGGATGTTGGGCTCGTCGGTTCGGATGCGAGAGTAGGGGAGGGTGGAGGAGAGATAGGGATGGCAGAAACCCCCATTGCCGTGATAGCGTTTATGGCAAGAGCCGTCGTCAAACCACGGTTGCCGATCTTGATTTCCGAAGACCCGTACTTGTAGATCCATCCAATCTCCCAACCACCGTCTTCACATTGTAGTGGCAAGAGGGACCTAAGGTCGACCTCATCCCTCAAGCCGACGGAATCGCAGACGAGGACTCGCATAGCCAGGGCTAGGGCATCACCATCGGCACCGACTCGCTCCTGAATTCGAAGCCTTAGTAGCGGCTTTAATATTCCGTGGATTTCTGCGTCGCCTGTTGCCTGCAATAGCCGACTGAGGAAGAACAGAAAACATTCGGGGGTTTCATAATAGCGCGTGCCCTCCAAATAAGCCCTGTTGAGCAGAACTTCGTGGACCCACTCCAAGGTCTTCTTCAGCTCATGCCCGCGACCATGGGAGTAAAACAAGCAAAGGGCATTGACACAGACGACAGGGTCAAATCGTGGCCGTCGGTGGTCGAAATATGTCTAGACGCGGAAGAAAGGATAAGGCTTTGCATTCTTTTTCGTAATTTATTATTTACCTGAATGATCCCGTCCGAGTTGACGAAGCTTAGCATTTCATCCATTACAGAATGTGCCACGGCTGAGCTGGGTTTCGTAACCGTTATGCCCAAGGAAGTGGTGTCTAGATCGAAGGGAAATTCTTCGGTGGTAAGTTGGCCTTTGCCTATGACCAATGATTGTTACTATTGGGAATGAGGTGATACGAGGGGAGTGAAATACGTACCACGGAAGAAATTCCATGTGCTGGTGTGTTCGAATAGGTTTACCAAACTCCTAGGTAATCTGTTAGGCTTGTGCGTTCCGGGGGGATGGTCGGAAACTTACTGATCGTTGGTAGCCTCCAAAATCAATAATTGAGCAAAGTTTTCTTGAAGCTCGACACCGCCGTCCGTGACGGACTCGAGGTGTCGAGCATTCTTAGTCAGAAACTCCTGCCCCCTCTTCACGGGATCGCCCACTAGGTTGCGAAGCGCACGCCCAACGTGTTTGACGTCGTCGAATACAATCCCGTGAATGCCCAATGAACGAGCCGAAAGTACATTCTCTAGCTTGTCGTCGACGAAGATCACTTGATGAGGATCGACCTTTATCTTCCGCAACACCTGCTTGTAAAAGCCAAGATTGGGCTTGCGCTCCCCAGCAGCGCCAGAGGTAAACACATCGTCAAATATATCCCAGTCCGCAGGCTTCGTGCGCAAGACTTCGTAGTCCGGCAATGAGATGTTGGACATGGCATAGACACGTAGAGTGTTCTGTGACTGATCCTTCAGATCTCGTATTAGGGCAATGAACGCATCGTTCGAACGCAACGAATCGCGAGCTTGGATGAAGGCTTGAGCAACTTCTGAGGGTTCGATCTTGAACTCGGCCCCGACGCGTTTATAACATTCATCTTCAGATAGGCGGCCGCACTCGTAATCGAACCAAGTGGGCGAGGCAAGGATATGTCGGAGGGTTCGAGATGAAATGGTGGTTTTGGTTTCTGATGACCAAGAGAAGAGAACGTCGCCGAGATCGCAGAGTAGCGCCGTGTATCGAGGATGGGAGCCCATGATAGATGAAGGACCGGGAAGGACAAGAATCGGAACGGGGTATTGCAGAGGAACATGAGTAGATTCCGACCCCAATTTAAAGTGGTTGCGATGGCCAAAACAGTATTCCAGAAAAGAACGTGTAACTTGCCAAAGAAGTTGCCAGCCTCGAGGCATACTAGACAGAAAGAAGAAACGAAGGAGCGCTTCCATGGGGGGAGAGTCGGCCTATAGCCTCCATCAACGCAGGTCGGCAACCCTTGGTCGTATGGCGGTAGTACTCGGGACCCCAGACTCCGAAGGGGCAGATTGCTGCGATCGGTGTGGAATGCGACCCTGGGGCCACAAAACCTCAAGGCCTCAAGGCGTCACAAATTCTAATCTAGAATCGTATGTGCCTACTATGTAATCATGGAAAACGAGCCGGCCGTCTGTCCGACTCGGGTTGATGTTATTTTGCCAAAATTCATGCATCACAAGTTTTACGTCCATACCTTGGCACAGTGCGATATCGACTACCTCCGCGGCCGGGTGAGGCAGAACCATGCTTGTGCTAACGAGAGTCGTGATTTACTTATCTTCTGACGGTTTGATTAGTCTCTTTCAACGCCAGGGACAAGTAAAAATTCGTACGGCGGTCAGCTTCTGTGGGTTTGCTGTAGGTCCACTATCAATCAGACGAATGGAATACAAGTTTCAGCGGTATACCGGAGCCACCGTGCCACAAAGAACTAGCCAGGCTCTGAGTGTGAAATGCACAAATGCGTACATGTTGCTCACTTTGCGATGCGCCCATGCGGGGCTAGCATGCCGCCGAGCATCTGACGATGCTGCAAAGAAACCTATTGCAACAGTGCGCCACCATGATGAAAGGGTATTCAAAGCGCTGGAGGAACTGATTTCTCTGATATCAAATTCTAATTGGGATTTAATTGAATTGATACCATGTCGGATATTGACATCTTGGTATAAGCATGGCGCAACGCTCGGTCAGGTCCAC